TTAAACATGTGCCATTCTCCTTCTGCTTGTGACTTCTTTATGTTTTTTATTAATAAAAAAAAAAAAATTACGCTACATCCAAACCACAATAAGTTGCCCTGAGCACCCTGACTATGTAATTAACCAGTGGGCAAGTGTGTTTATAATGTACTATAACTTCTGTAATAACTACATGTATTGTGTATTTCTTATGTATATTTTTGACCTGGGAGCAGAACTGCTGATGAACTGGTTTAGGAACAGGCAGACGTCCTGTCTAACTGGCTCCATGTTTCTAATCATGTCGCACACTGGTTCACTGTGCCACAAAATCACCAAAACACTGCACAAATCACACCAGTGAATCACTTTGTTATAAACCATTGAATCAGATACTGACCCAGTGACGAGACGATTGATGCTTTGGACATGATTGATCACGTGACTCTGGTGAGACGAACCAAGCCTCGGTGTTTCTGAAGCAGTGTGTTGATTTTTTTATAACACATGCGCCGGATTTTCATGTTCAGGCTTTTTCAAGTTTATTTTTTAGTTTTTCAAGTTTGGGTTTTGTTTGGTGTTGTATTGCTTTGATTTGTATGGAAGAGGATTAGGACCACTGGGGGGGAGGGGGGGAGTGGGCACGTCTTTTTTAAAAATCTTTTCCAGAAATATTTCACAGTCAACTGTTAGTGATATTATAACAAACCGAAATTGACTGGGAATGACAGCAGCTCAGCCATGATGTATTCGTGATGGAGCAGACGGCTGAGTTTATTAAACTCCACCGAGACAGCGGTGAAGCAAAACTGAAGGCTAGACCGTCCAATTTCACAGCCTCGCATTTCCAGCCTACGGAGGACCTGACCCACGTAGACCACGAAGGCCCACGTAGACCACGAAGGCCGGGTCCTCGGCAGGACTGCAGGATGCAGCCTATAAATTTGGACACCCCCCAAATGTTTGGGCAAATGTTTCCCCGGGGGTCTGGACACCATTTAAAGGTCATGGGTTTTGGGTGTTTTTTTAATAATAATTGTTAAGGTGTAAGTGTAAAATGTAAAATTTTTAATCAGATTAATGGTCAAATGTATGTATATATTTATTTATTAAATGTGTATGTTAGAATTTTGGTGTAAGGTCAGAATTGGGAAAACTCCCCTGACAGTAACATAATAACAGCTGAGAGTTGTCATTAGATACAGCTGAACCTAACCTGACATGGTGAGACAACGGGAAAGCAAAACACAGAAAACTGAACACGGGACGCGGGACTGTCAAAGTAAAACAGGAACCAAGAGACATCCAAAGGCGCTACCTGCCATTAAATCCTCAGCCCTAGAGATAATTAATTTTTCACAAAGATCAGTGCAAATGGCTTTAGCAATGCTATCCAAATGTTCCTTACTACTCTCCCTGGAGTTGAGCCCCAGTTGGACACCTTTTTGGAGAAAATCAGGAGGATCAAAAGCCTCCGACCCGGACTGTAAAGGAAGGAAACTTTGATAATGGACCCAAGCTTTCAATGTTTTGTGCTCTGATTTGTTAGTTATGTAATTTTTTTTGCCTCCCTCTTCCCGCTCCACCACAATCACAGGGCCTTGGGGTAAAGGTGTGTCACCAGGGTGCAGGGGAGGCAACTTAGACATTCACATTACTCACACTCTCATTACACATACATATAGGATCTTGGGGGTGGGCACG